CGGTCGCATTCGTCATCGCCACGCGGTCTCGGCTGGCGTCGACGCGATCAAACATGTCTCTGACGGGGGAACGACAATTTACAAGCTTCATTTACGAAATCTTTACTTATTTACATCTTACAAGGTCAGAAAATGTTGTTAATACATGCATTATCTTCTATTCAGATTCATAATTCCACTCGGGGCATTTCTATACTCGTACAACTTGTCATGGCTTCTAGAATTTTACAAAAAATTATAAATTCACAACGAATAAAGAAGGACCATGCCTTAAAACATACAGATACCATAGAGAAAGTTAGATAGCGAAGATTTGAGAAATGTCACAAGGCAAGTTTAAAGGACCTAAAATGTTCTTTATGACTAGGAGACTCCAAACCGTTGTCAAACAAGTTTGATCATGTGATTTTCAAATTCGAGGGCTATTTGCTATTCTGAAACAGGGAAACAAGTTTAGGCTTGTGAAAACAATTACACAGTGGTTTGGAGTCCCTTAGTCGCACAATAATTGATAGTTAATCAGAATTTCATAAAAATTATTAGTTCTTCTCAAAAATTTCAGCAAATTCAAGGGAAAAAACTAGAACCTACATTCTAATAAACTAAGTTATCTCCTTCAAAGCTATCCCTAAATAATTTCCTAGGCCCCAGCAAATCTCCCAAAAATGCGCCCGCGCTCTTTCTGCCCCCCCCCCCTCTATTGCGTCGGTCGATAATGCAACGGATGCTCTGACGAGATCATCGGTAGTGAAGGTGAATGCAGATTCACTCGAACTGGAAAACGTTTTCCAGCAATGTCCAGTTCATAACTGCCTCGATTCAGGAAGTCGGCTGATATCCCAAATTCGTTATTTATCACATATGCGGTACAAACCTGAAATTTTCATCATTAAGGTTATTTTCGATAGTTTTGTCCATTATTATCGACTTACTTGACATCCAAGTGTGAATCCATATGCTGCTGTTGTTGTTTGACCCACCGGTTTGCCATCTCTATAAAGTAGCTGCGATAATTCATGAGAGGTAAGCCCATAATTCTTGAAGATTGATGTTTATTTTTTTATTCTATCAGAAAAATTAAACAAGTTCTTCCAAATAAACGTTTACCATAAAAATAATTGATACATTTCTCCCAAGAATTGCAGCTTTAGTTTCCTAATGCAACTATTAAAATGCAACGTTTTTTTTCAAAAACATTGTATTGTTTCACACATTTTCATTTATTAGTACGAACAAAAACTTATTCCTTCGAAAAGTGAAATCTGCGTCACGTTCTGCATACTTTCGCCTGTGGTTTATGTAATTTCCGAGCAAAATCAAGCGAAAATATGCGTTTCAACAAAAACCATTTCAATAACTTAGAAGCGCTATTTTGATTATCTTTGAATAGCGGTCGGCTTGCCATGAATGAATTTGGTAATTTCATGAAGAAAGTAAAACTATTGGAAAAATGGAAGATAATAAAACTAATAAGCAATTATTCATGTTTTTTCTTGATCCTGCGGAATATAAAAAACATCGTAGATGAGTATCATATCAAAATGTCTCCACAGGTACTTGATTATTCTGACCAACAAATAGTACTTTCCCAATATCCCAAAGTTCCTCTAAGTTCGATACAAATTCTAAGACTTGTAATAGAATGTCAGCTTACCTAAACAAGGTCTCTCCTCCTTGTGGCCAAGGGTCGGTTTCTTTATCGTGCATATCCACCAATAATTGAACAAATCGTTTCGATACACCTCGTTCAATTTGCTTCAACAGAGCATCTTTGCCGATAAAGTCTTTCTGAAATTTGAAAGAATATTTGAATTTGGATTTTATGAGAATCTGTCTGAATCTATGAATTGTGCATTACATCACTCCAAAGGAACAATCTTAGGAAATGATTTTTCTATAGTACGTGGTCGAAAACAAGCAAACTATCAAAGCTACTACAGCTACTAAACACGATTCGATTAATTCTAGCTGTAATTTGAGAACTGCACATCTGCGTATACATAAGTGAATGTAAGAGAGAACAGCTGATTAATCGAACGTACTGTGAAGTCAACCCGGAAAGCATGTCGCAATGCTTCATACTCGTCCGGCTGCAATTGATCATATAGTGTCACTGCTTCAACATAGAGAGAATAGGTAAAAATATTAGAACAGAATCAACACTGAGTTATTGAAGGCAGCGGCTCGGCAGAATTCCGTTTTGCAGTTTTCAGCCTTTTCGGGATATTCTCGTCATAAGAAACCCATATTTGGGCTTTCTCCGCGCATGAAAATGGCGAAAATGAGCCGTTTTCAATGATTTTCAGATCCGCATTCAATGCAAATACGCCGGAAGTTTTCCGCGCCC